GAGGAGCAGCCTCCGCCCATGTTTGTACTGTCTGGCACAAAGCACAAAGAGTCCTAGAATTCAGAAGTCATATCCAACCTACAGGTCATCAGGAGGGCGCCTGTGTCAACGGAGAGCCTCACCATCACTGTGGGATTATAGTTGTATTGGATGCAGGCCTTCCTTTAGATCCTGCCTTGGGGGCAGGACAACAGTCCCCAAGTAGGAGTGAGAGGAAAATTTCTTTTTTTTTTTTTGAGATAGGGTCTCATGTAGCACAGGCTAGCCTTGAGAACACCTGACCCTTTTGTAACCGCCTCCCTTTTTCTAGGATCCCAGGTGTGCACCAGGCTTCCTGGTGGAAAATACTGATGTTTACACGCTAGCCCCTAACTCTGAAGTGCTGACAGTCCCTTCTAGGATGGCAACGCGACGGCTCTACAGTGAGGAGAAATCAAATGTGCTCCTGGGCCAGAGGTGGGCTGCCAGCTTGACAACTCTGCCAGGATATGATGGTGACATTCATCCTCAAGTCTCCTCCAGATACCGTCAGTCCATGACTTCCTGTGAGACTGGTCTTATAGACCATTGCATAGCTGTGGCAACTAAGGTAGGGAGCCAGCGCCCAAGGGGCTGGACCCAGGCAGGGTTAGGGCACGACAGCCTTCATTGAGCTCTTCTATGTCCCAGCCCTACTCATTTCTCAATTATAGTTTGTCTCAGTCCTCACTGCATTCCAAACATCAATCTCCCCTGCTGTGTGTGTATGTGTGCACACGCACATGTGTACATGCAAGCGTATGTATGCACACATGTATATAGTGCATGTGCCAGAGAAGGCTGGAAGTCAACCTCTGGTGTCATTTCTTAGCCACTGGCCTGGCACTTACCAAGTAAGCTAGGCTGGGTGGCCAATAAGCTCCAGGGATCCTTCCACCACCTCCTCCTAGCCCTAGGATGGCAGGTGTACACCCCTCTGCCTAGATTTTAAGTGTAGGTTCTGGGGCTCAAACTAAGGTCCCTGTGCTGATGAAACAAGCACTTTACCAACTGAGCTGTCTCCCCAACTCCCAGGCATCTGTTCTTAACATGCTTCATGGAAAGAAGGCTAAGGCTCTAAAAGTTCAGCTAATAAGCCTGGGGTCACACGGTCGGCCGGTCTAGGCTGGACCCGGCTGCCACCACGGCCTGGCTTCTCTAAGCCAGAGTTTTCTCTTGAGAAGGAAAAAAGACCAAAAGGAAAAGAAGACCAAACAAAAGAAGCCTGTAGGAAAGGTCTGCCCTCGGCTGCCACAGGATCCGTGCTCGGGGTGTGTGTAGGGGGAGGGCAGAGAGGGGTCTTGCCTAGGTCTTTCATATCTATCAGTGTAAAAAGAATCTATAGTGAAAACGGTGTTGTTGAAACAAAGACCTGTATAGACTTCACCATCAGGCTGGGGACTGGAGGTGTGGGGGTGAGGAGTGCGTGTCCTAGCAGGGGTGGCCCTTCACAGAGAAGGACACAGAGCCTAGCCAGGGAGTCCAGGGTGTCATACACAATCCAGGAGCACAGATCATGGGCCTGTGAGGTGTTGGGGGCCTCAAAGCAGCTCCTAAGGTACATCTCCACTGGCAGGTGACCCAGGATGTGTATTTTCTGGTATCAGACTTTCTGCTAATTACATCTATGATCTCACGGAATCCTCACCCGACTCCTGCAAGACAGGGACTACACATTCCATGTTGTAGTGAGGAAACGGAAGCACAGAGACTTGAAGATACTCACCAAAGACTAAACAGGTCAGAATGGGAGAGCCAAGGCCTAAGTGTTCCCGTGGCCAGAGTGACGCTGATGGTTTCTGACAGGATATCCCTGGGGACAGCTGACAGTTCACTGACTACTCAATTGCTGAAACATACTTGCTGCAGACAGCCGAGGAATCGGTACATACACCAGGTGAGGTGTAAGTGACAACACTTCACCTGGGTGTGGCACTTTAAAAGCTGTGTGGTCCCTAGACAAAGGCCCACCAGGCTCTGCAGTCCCTTAGCCCAGCCTCAAGGAGCTGCCTGCAGCCCTACATGCACTGTTCCCAGACCTACAAACTTTTTCCCCCTCTGAGAGCCCGCTGAGAGCTTCCTCTTTGAAGCTCTGGCAATCCCACTTCTACCCCCATGCTCACCCAGCCAGGGGTAGCTTTTCACAGGCCCTTCTGGTCTTTACTAACTCTTGTCCAGACCTCTGTTTTGGCACTTATTTGGGGTGTAATTACATGTTCACAGATCTGTTTCCCATAATGAGCTCATCTGAGCCCCAACACGCATTAAACAAAACCAGACAGCAGCTCTCAGACTGACACGCCACTAGGAAAGGGAGGCCCAAGCGCTTGGGGGTATTGAACCCTTCTACCTAGTGCTGACAGGCCAGCTGGCACCATGACGGTCTGCTCGGCCCTTGCAGAAATCCCTGCATGCAAGGCTAGAAAATCCTGGTGATCTTTTAACCCTTCCAATCCATCCGTGGCAACGATTCTAGAGGACCACTTAGGGAAACTTGAAAGAAAGTATTTTCTGCCCAGACTCATTCTGGATTCCGATGGCAAATACAGAAGATGGCCACTATAGCATCAATAACGCCCGCTAGTTGACCATTTAGCCTGTATTCAGTGCAGGCCCCTTGACCTTATACTATCATTTCTTCTTACACTCAGCCTGGTGATGCGGTGGCACATTGACCCGGAGAAGACAAATCTCAGAGACTATGACAATACTAACAGCTGCGACAGCCTTGACAAGGGATAGAGACCCCCAACAGGTCTATGACCTGCTCACAACCGCGTTCCTCTCCTGTCAGTCACACACACGCCCTCCTAGATCCAGCGGCTATGCTTCTGCAGCTGATGGTAGAAGAGGGCTGGGAACCAGGCAGGTCTGTTCTGAGAGCACTATGTGGTCCACTAGTTGCTGCCTCTTGGGTTACAGGCTGTGGACTTCCTCCATGTCCCCTCAAAAGATTCTGAAACCTTATCTCCAGAGCTACGAACATGGCCTCTGGAGGAGTAATGGCCTTTGTCATTATATCAGTTACTTTTCTGGTTTCTAAGATCTCCAGAAACTTAGGGGAGGAAGCTGGAAGAGATACAATCATGGTGGAGAGTTGTGACAGCAGGAGTTTGAGGAAACAATTGGTCACATTGCATCCACAGCCGGGAAGCAGCTCACCTTCTCCTTTTATGCAGTCTGGGACTCCATCCCATGGAATGGTGGTCCCTACATTTAGTGTGGGTTGTCTTACCTCAATGCACATAATCTAGAATATCTCTTGCAGACACATTGGGGGGTGTTTCCATGGTGAATCTGAATCCGGCCAGGATGACTATTTTAACATCACAGCATGTGATAAGGATAAGACGGGGTAACCACAATGGGCCCTCATCCTATATAACTGATGTCTTTATGGGGAAGGGAGCCTAGCCTAGGATGTCTATGCAGCCAAGACAATGTGAAGACATGGGGAACACTGCTCACAAGCTTAAGGATTCTTGAGTGGCCATAGGCTAGGAGAAATTATTGGAAAGAACTTCACCCACAGCCCTCAGGTAGAAACTGCCTTGCCTCCATTTTGGATTCCTAACATTTAGAGGTCCGAGAGAATCAACATCTATCACTCAAGCCACCCAGTTCACCTCTTTGCCATGGTAACCCCAAGGAGTATGTACAGGCTTCCAGCAACTTTTTGCTGGTGGAATGACTAGGTAGAAACAGAGATCATGTGAAAATGCCCGATACATCGTGCCTCATGTTAAAGGGACCACAGAGGCAGACAGAGGACCAACGGAGGCTCACCAGCAGGACTTGCCACTTCCCCTCCCCATTATTCTACATCTTCTCAGCTTTGTTCACCAAAAATAACCATGCATATAAATTTTATACAATTGTCTTAAGATAGATTTGAACTGCAGACAGTTGGAGGAATGCAAGACTATGGGCTGAATTGCATTCCCTCAAGTCCCATGCTGAAGACCTCTAACCACCTCTAAATGTGATCCTATTTGCAGCTAGGGAATTACATTTAAAACTGGAGCTGTTGGGGATGGGCTTTTCCCAATATGACAGATGTCCTTAATTTTTTAATTAATGAGTGCATGAGTGCGTGCGTGCGTGCGTGTGTGTGTGTGTGTGTGTGTGTGTGTGTGTGCATGTGTGTGTGTGTATGTGGGCATATGTGTCACAGCACATGTGTGGAGATCAGAGAACTTTCAGAAGCCAGTTCTCTCCTACCACATGAATCTTGAGGACTGAACTCCTGTTGTCAGGCTTGGTAGCAAGTGCCTTTATGCACAGTTGTGGTTATAATGAGAATGTCCCCCACAGGCTCATGTTGAACACTCGGTTCCCCACTTGGTGGCGCTGTTTGGGGGAAGGTTATGGGAGATGCAGCCTTGCTGCAGGCATTTGCCATTTGGGGCATACATGGAGAGTTTACAACTTCATCCCACTTTCCAGTTTGTTCTGTGTGCTTGATGCTTGCAGTTGAAGATGTGATCTCTCAGCTTCCTGCTCCTGTCTCCATGCTGCAATGCCTGCTGTTTGCTGCCATGCCTCCCCACTATGAAGCACTTTTATCCATCCGGAACCATAAGCCAAAACAAACTCTTCCATTAGTTGCCTTGGTCACGGTGTTTTATCACAGCAACAGAAAAGCACATAATATGCCCACTAAGCCACCTCACTGGTCCAGGTATCCTTAAAAGAGGAAGCAATTAGGGCCAGAGAGATACCACCAGACACATGCACACACACAGTGCATGTAGTGACATATACAAGACGGCAGCCACTTGTGCCTGAGCTTGGTCCTCCAGCCTCTAGAACAGTGAGGAAGAAACTTTCTGCCACTGAAGCCACATGGTGTCACAGAAACTTGACAAACAGCTACAAGGAGTCGGAGGAAAGTGTTTGTTTGCACAGCCCCCAACTCTGCATGCTAGAACGGAGACACAGGAAGGCTGTGATCAGAGGTAAGGCTCAGCCTCACCACTCACCCAGGCAGTTGTGTCCATCGTGAGCCAGCATGAAGCCATCAAAACAGGTGCACCTGTAGTTCCCAGGGATGTTAATGCAGTCATGGACGCAGCCCCCGTTGTAGTAGTCATTCTCACACTCGTCGATGTCTGCAAAGGCAGAGACATGAGGCGTATCAGACCAAGTGGCTTGGGTTCTGGCTTCCACCACTGCAAGCCACTATGATATGACTTTATTAGGGGATGTGGCAGCTTCAATTGTCAACTTAACACAACCTGGAATCGCCTGGAAGAGTTTCACTGAGGGACTGTCTGCGTTGGGCTCACTTGTGGGCATGTCTGTGGGGCAATGTCATAAGGAAGTTATGAGAAGACCCAGCCCACTGCAGGTGGCATCATTCCCTAGGCAGGTGCTTCTGAGCTGGACAAGGGTGGAGAAATCAAGCAGAGAGTGCAAGCAAGCCAGCCAGCTGGCCAGAATTGTGCACTCATTTCTCCCTGCTTTTGTCTGTGAGTGTGATATGGCCAGCAGCTTGAAGTTCCCGCTTTGACTTTCCTATGATGATGGACCACAGCCTGGACTTGTAGGCAGGAATAACACCCTTTCCCCCCCTCTAGTTCTGTCAGGGTATTATTATTTTTTTAAATCACAACACCAGAAATGAAATTAGAACAGAAGATAGATAATAACTCAGCAGATACTCAATAACATTTACTGCAAGGGGCTGAAGAGGCATTTGAAAAACTGGCTGACCACCAGTTTTCAGAAAAGAGTCATATTGTGGTGTGTGTGTGTGTGTGTGTGTGTGTGTGTTGTGGGGGCAGCTTCCAACTCCTGCCACAGTGAAGCAGGTAACCACCAAGCCTGGCTCTGGCTCTTTCTAAAGCCTGCTAACACTGCCAACAGATGGATGCTTCTACACCCATGAAAACCGGCTTCTTTGAAACGGGCAGACCCAGTAAAATAAATTGTGCACATCACCAAAAAGTATCATCTCTGGGATGAAAGAATGTCTACTGGCCCCCACCCCCACCCCAGTAGCTGCTCCAGCTTCCTTGTTATAACAAAGACTTCTGTCTCATAAACAATGGTCAATAGCTTTAGTAAAGGTCACTCTGCTGTTATAAGTCTTTTTTTCCCCAACATTTCCCAGCAGGGGTCAAAGGGCTATCAGTTCTGGGGTTCCAGAAAGAAGAATAAGAAACATGTCTAGCTAACATTCAATGAGCCGCTTCTACGCCCAAGGGGTTGGCCACACTGTATGCCATTATCTCTAAAGTCCTCACAGGGACTGTGGTAGTTTTATGTCAACTCAACAAAAGCTGAAGTCGACTGAGAGGAGGGGACCCCAATTAAGAAAATTCCTCCATAATATCTAGCTGTAGAGCATTTTCTTAATTAATGATTGGCCCAATCACTAATTCAGCCCATTGTGAGTGTGTCTTCCCTGGGCTGGTGGTCCTGGGCTCTACAGGGAAATGGGTTGGGCAACCCATAAGGAACAAGTCAGTGAGCAGGTCCTCTCCATGGCCTCTGCATCAGCTCCTGTCTCCAAGTCCCCACCCTGTTTGAGTTCCTGTCCTGACGTCCTTCAGTGATGGACTATGAATATGGAAGTGTTTTCTCCCCAATTTGCTTTAGTGATCACGTTTGTCACAGCACTGGTAACCCTAATGAAGATAGGGACCCAGGCCCAGTGGTCTGCTTGCACAGGGCACTGGAGGAACCTTGCATGGGGAGGCTAAAACCTTGCCAAAGGCCATGCACTTAGAAGGGATGCAAGTAGTGACACCTAACTCTGCCCAGCCTTGACCTCTCAAGGATGGCTTCCAGAATGACCCTACCAGCTGTGCTCTAGGGCCCTGGTGCTTCTGCTAGGTCTTGGACCACCTCATTTCCAAATATTCCCTGGGCTTAATGCCTCCCACTTACCCTGAGCCCAGCCTTCAGGTATTCTAGGATGGCCTTTGTAGAGTGGGAGAATGCCATAGCTGAGCTGAAAGCGATTCTCAGGACATAGAAGAAGCATGTCTGAGACAGAAGAAACATTTCCCTTATCTGTCAGGAGTGGGAGTTTGAGGTGAAGTTCTAGCAGGAGATGGGAAGAGCCTGACCCAAAGCCTGGAGTTGGCAGGGAAACCATGGAGACCCATGCTCTCACCAGCTGGGGTGCAGCAGAGCTATGGCATAGCCATTTGATGCTTAGTATTGGGATACTAGTCCGGAAGTCCAGGGGCTCACTCCTTCACTCCTGATTCTTCTAGGAAGTGATTAAGCATAGCAGAGACACCCCAAAGTGCAAAGGCAATAATAACCTGTGAAAAGAGCGTATTGCACAAACCTATCCTTGTACCCAGCCAGCCAGCTAGAAGAAGGGAAGGACAAAGTAGGGGTTCCCAAAGGTTTCAGAATCGAGGTGCCCTGCCTTAGTGTGTATAGCCACCACCTGTGCCAGCTGGGGAGCACAAATGAGTCTGCGGCACATCTGAATTATCTTTAAATATACCTAGTAGACTAAAGGATATTAAAGCAAGATGTAAGACTTTAGGTTTATGGAAAAGGAGTAGGGTGTTATAGCTACTGAGGGATACCCATTGCCTTCAGGTTCTTCTTGAAGCCCTGAACCCGCATACATCACTCCAAACATGTCTCCTAGGTCTTGAACCTACACTCCCAAGACAATGCATTCCAGCTTTAATTCACCAAGCTGCACAGCTCTGGAGTACCCCATCACAGGCCACATTGTTTCCCTTCCACGTCTCAGATACAAAGAATCTCTCTCTCTCTCTCTCTCTCTCTCTCTCTCTCTCTCTCTCTCTCTCTCTCTCTCTCTCTCTCTCTCTCTTTCTGTGTGTGTGTTGCATGTATGTATCTATGCAGGTGTGTGCATGTGTGTGAGTGAGCATATAGAGGACAAAGGTCAATGTCTGCTCTCTTCCTCCATTGTTCTTCATCTTATTTTTTAAGACAGGGTGTCTCAGTGAAGCCAGAGCTCACTGATTTGGGCAGTTAGGCTGGTTCCCCAATCAGCTCCAAGGATGCACTTGTCTCTATCCCCTCCCTGTTCCCCCACCATTACCCTTAAGTTTTTGAGACACAGGCACAGGTCCTCCTGGCTTTTTTTTTAGACCTAAGTGTTGTGGTATATTTAACTACATAAAGATGTGTTACATTTGTTTATGCTGTGGAATATTACTTTAACTGTGCAAAGGTATGTTACATTTGTTTATGCTGCCTTTGTTAAAAATGTAAAGATGTGTTACATTTACTCCTGCCGCCTTTGTTAACAATGTAAAGATGTTACATTTGTTTATGTTGCGTTTGTTTAATTATATAAAGATGTATTGCATTTGTTTCACCTCGCCTGCCTGAGGCACCTGATCAGCCTGATTAAGAGCTGAATAGTCAATAGCTAGGAGGAGAAAGCTAGGCTTGAAAAAGAATGAAAGAGGAGAGAACAAGGGGGAAAGAGAGGGGCACACCCGGGGCCAGCCAGGCAGCTGCCAGCCAGACGTGAGAAACAGCGAAAGTGAGAGGTAAGAAGGAAAGAGAAGGTAAGAAGCCCCCAGGTAAGAGGTAGATAAGGAGAAACAGGTTTATTTAACTTAAAGGAGCTAGTCAGAATTGAGCCTCAGCTAGGCAGAGCATTCAAAACTAATAAGATTCTGCGCCATGATTTGGGAGCTGTTTGGTGGCCCAAAAGAAAAAGCCTGTTCCACCTTTTCCCAGTCTCTAACTCAGTAGCAGCTTCCTTCCACCGCCTGCTAGCGTGAGAATCCCCTCTCACCAAACGACCCAGTGTCCCCCAAGCACTTCCTTCACTCTTTCTTCCCCTCTCAAGCTGGTGACTGGCCTGATCCCAGCAGCCTGTGTCACTCGCAATGGCTGTTGGTCCCATGGTGGGTAGGAGACTTAGAGTGGATTAGACATACTAAAAGACTTCTGTGTCATGTTTGTGTAAAATAATCTCTCTCATGATGCACCTCCTCCTGAAGCACGGGCCCTTCCAGTCCTTGCTGCAGTCCTTGGGGAAGCTGCTTTTTAATGCAGATCAAACTGAAGTTCAGAGAGGTTAGAGAACCGCTCAAAGTCACACAGCAGGTGACAGGACAAGGATCAGAACTCTCAGTCTACAAAGCTCACATCCCTTCCTTCCTTCCTTCCTTCCTTCCTTTCTTTCTTTCTTTTTTTGTTTGTGTTTTGAGACAGGGTTTCTCTGTGACTTTGGAGGCTGTCCTGGAACTCGCTCTTGTAGACCAGGCTGGCCTTGAACTCACAGAGATCCACCTGCCTCTGCCTCCCTGCTGGGATCAAAGGTGTGAGCCACCACCGCACGGTCGCTCACATCCTTTCTAAGCCACACTGTCTAGCACAGGCCAACCATGGGTAAAATACTCCAGACAAGCATTTGATTCCCAACTCATTTCTATTGTGCCCTGTGAAAGTGTTCCCTAGCCATCCAAGTGCTGTTCACTCCTCGCCCCCCCACCTGTTCCTCCTCCTCCTACACAAGTGTGCACGCCATTCCATCATGAGTCAGTCAGCCATACACCATTCAGCCAAAGCCACCTTCCTCCTGCTAACAATCTGTCCATACACTCTATGGCATAGCTACTCAAATTCCCATCCAGCCCTTCTCCCACTTAGCCATTTATGCTAATACATACTCACTGTAACATGCAACTTGGCTGACTGTCTATTCACCAGTCACCTATGTAGCTGTCCATTTATCCAGGCAAGCATTCTCCCATATTCAGATATTCATTCTTTCATCCATGTGTCCACATATTTGGCCATACACTGTCCTCCCACTAATTAAAAGACCATGCATCCACACATCTATTCACTCACATGTCCATCCATGGATTCATCGATGCAAACACTCACCCTCCAAATGCACATGCACACCCCACCTACCCATTCTTTATGTCCAATATATGAACATTCATCCATCTATCTATCCAAACTTCTCTTCACTCATTCACTCCTTTCCTTCAAGCAGCTTAAAAACAAATTGCAGTATGATTTTTCAGAAATAAAGGTTTAAGACAGAGAGAAACAAATGAGATTGACTGGTGATACTGTTTCCTGATATAGTTGGCAATCCCTGCATAATCACAAAAGGTGAGCCACAAACACAGTTGAGCTT